CATTGAAGAGCTTATAAGTCGTTCTATAATCACTTTTTATTCATATAAATCGCACAAAACAATTCATATGTTCCCCGATTTGAATTTACAAAGCGAATTTCAAGGAACTAGTGACCCCACTTAAAGCTTAGTGAAAACCGCCAACTCGTATATGATTTTTTGTCTTGTACGACATGAATTCTGGGAAAAATAGCTTTCCTGTATATGACAAACTTCAGCAAGGGAGAACTCTTTAAACACTCACACACAAAGAAAGAGAAATAATGTACATAGGTCATATAGGCCTACGCAGATTTCGTGTGCTTGCATTGCACAGTAAATATAGGCCTACGCAGATTTCGTGTGCTTGCATTGCACAGTAAATATAGGCCTATATCCTCCCTGGAGCGAGGATATGTAATCATCAGGGTCCGGATTTTGATGACCTGAAAATATTTAAAACATGACCAAAAAAATCCAGAAAAATTACATAAAAGAGAAAAGAAAGAACACTTCGCTTCCATGTTATTCACACTTCAGAAAACATATGAAGAAAAATTCCCTAAAATGGCCGAAAATGACAAGAAATGCCCTTAAAGGTCAAAAAAATTACCCCCAAAATGAAAAAATAACCTTAAACCTAAAAATGTAAAAAAATGACAAAAAAACCTATAAAATTTACATTTCTGTAACCAGCAGCTCATATCCGAGATTTATATATTTAAGAGCATCGCATAGGATACAAGGAAAAACGGATGACATGTCATCAAAATCCGGGCCCTGGTAATCATCATGTTCGCAGTACCTCGAAACTGAATGGAGCGTAGACAGTAAATGCTTCGGAAGTTGGATAAATGAATAACTTCAAGGACTTGAAATTTTATTACATTTGTTGAATCATATATATTCTGCATGTTCAACAGATATTTCTCGAAAACCCTTCACGTAACACACATGATTTCAGTACAAAGCTCTTTCTTTTAATATTCCAGGTTTTAAAAAATCTTGTTTATGCTGTACACTGAGAATATATACGTACACATACTTGTATATCTCACTCTTTTCTAAAAGATCAATAAACAGAATATTGTCACGTGTAGGGGGTACGCGTGACGAAACTATCGGGTTCTAGTTCGGATGATTGGATTTATTGGCATTCAGTTACAATCTCCCCTAATCACAAATTAATAAAGCGCTATC